TAAATGGGCTGAATTCGCCAATTAAAAGAAAACGAACTGAGGACTGGATCAGAAAACAAGACCCATCCATCTGTTGCCTTCAGGAGACCCACCTCTCAGCCAAACATACAAACAAACTCAGAGTGAAGGGGTGGAAAAGGATCTACCAATCAAATTCCCCCAATAAGAAAGCAGGTGTAGCTATCCTGATATCTGACAAAATAAACTTTTCATTAAAATCAGTACAGAAAGACAAGGACGGACATTACATATTAATAAAGGGAACAATCCAAGAGGAGGATATAACCATCATCAACTTATATGCCCCAAATATCGGTGCACCCAGATATGTTAAACAAATGCTCTCAAACTTACAGAATAAAATAGATCCCAATACGATAATACTAGGAGACTTTAACACGCCACTCTCACCAAAGGACAGGTCTACCAACCAGAGGATTGGCAAAGAAGCTACCGAATTAAGTGAGGCCATACTTCAAGCGGAATTAACTGACATCTACCGAGTATTTCACCCTAAAACAACACAGTACACATTCTTCTCAGCAGCTCATGGAACTTTCTCCAAAATAGACCATATCATAGTTCATTCAAGGAACTTAAGCAAATACAAAGGGATCGACATAATCCCCTGTATCCTATCTGACCACAGTGGAATCAAGCTAGCTCTCAATAACAAAGCATACCGCAGAAATTTCTCTAATACATGGAAATTGAACAGCACACTCCTTAACAAGGCCTGGGTAACAGAAGAGATCAGAGAAGAAATAAAGCATTTCCTAGAACTCAATGAAAATGAAAACACCTCACAAAGAAACTTGTGGGACACAGCAAAAGCAGTCCTGAGGGGCAAATTTATTGCCCTCAGTGCCCACATCAAGAGAATGGAGACAGACCAAGTAAATAATCTCATGTTGCAACTAAAACAGCTAGAAAAACAAGAAAAAATGGGACCTAAAGCTACTAGACGAAGCCAGATAACCAAATTGAGAGCAGAGATTAACCAATTAGAAAATCAGAAAACCATAACCAAAATAAACCAAACAAAAAGCTGGTTCTTTGAAAAAATAAACAAAATTGATGGCCCGTTGGCAAGATTAATTAAAAAAAGAAGAGAGGAAACCCATATTAATAGGATTAGGGATGCCACGGGAAACATCACAACACGTACCCAAGATATCCAAACAATTCTAACAGACTACTTTCAAAAGCTATACTCTCTAAAGGAAGAAAATCTGGCGGAAATGGATGCATTTTTAGAGAAATACAAGTTACCCAAACTGAGCAAAGAAGAAGTTAACCAATTAAATAAGCCAATATCCTATAATGAGATACAGGAAGCTATCAAAAGTCTTCCAACAAAAAAAAGCCCAGGACCAGATGGATTCACAGCAGAATTCTATAAGACCTTTAAAGAAGAACTAATACCCATACTCCTCAAGCTCTTCAGAGAAACAGAGAAGGAGGGAGCTATCCCAAACTCATTCTACGAAGCCAATATCACACTCATCCCCAAACCAGGCAAAGACCCAACCAAAAAGGAGAATTACAGGCCAATCTCCTTGATGAACACAGATGCAAAGATCCTTAACAAGATTCTAGCTAACAGAATCCAGAAACACATAAAAAAAATAATACACTATGATCAGGTAGGCTTCATCCCAGAGACACAGGGATGGTTTAACATACGTAAGTCAATAAATGTAATCCAGCATATCAACAGAGCCAAGGTCAAGAATCACATGATTATCGCCACAGATGCAGAAAAGGCCTTTGATAAAATTCAACATTCATTCATGCTAAAAGCTCTGGAGAAAATAGGAATAGAAGGAACATTTCTAAAAACAATAAAAGCCATTTATGACAGACCAATAGCCAATATTATACTTAATGGGGAAAAGCTACAACCAATCCTCCTAAAAACAGGAACAAGGCAAGGATGTCCACTGTCTCCACTCCTCTTCAACATAGTCCTAGAACCCTTAGCCAGGGCAATAAGGCAAGAAAAAGACATTAAAGGGATCCGCATAGGGAAAGAAGAAGTGAAACTATCCCTTTTTGCAGACGACATGATACTATACCTCCACGATCCCAAAAACTCCATCCCCAAACTTTTAGAAATCATAAGTCACTTCGGCAAAATAGCAGGATACAAAATAAACCCACAAAAATCAGTTGCCTTCCTATACACTGATAACGCACAGGAAGAGAGGGAAATAAAGGGAGCAACCCCATTCACAATAACCTCCCAAAAAATAAAATATTTAGGAATTAACCTAACCAAAGATGTAAAAGAACTATTTAATGAGAACTATAAAAAGTTAAAGAAAGAAATTGCAGAAGACACTAGGAAATGGAAAGACCTCCCATGCTCCTGGATAGGCCGACTTAATATAGTAAAGATGGTGATACTTCCAAAATTAATATACAAATTCAATGCAATTCCTATTAAAATCCCAATGACGTACATCACTGAAATACAGAAAACAGTCCAAAAATTTATATGGAACAACAAAAGACCTAGAATAGCCAAAACAATTCTAGGGGATAAAGACAATATGGGAGGGCTATCCATGCCGAACTTCAAACTCTACTACAGAGCTATAATCACAAAGACAGCATGGTACTGGCACAAAAACAGACCCGAAGACCAATGGAACAGAATAGAAGATCCAGATATAAATCCACAGGCCTACAGCCAGCTGATATTCGACAAAGGAGCCAAAGACATACAATGGAAGAAACACAGCCTCTTCAACCGCTGGTGCTGGGAAAACTGGGCAGCCACATGCAGAAAACTAAAAGTGGACCCCAGCCTATCACCATGCACCAACATCAACTCAAAATGGATTAAAGACCTTAACATTAAACCTGAATCTCTGAAACTACTGCAGGACAGAGTAGGAGAGACACTTGAACTAATAGGCACAGGAAGGAACTTCCTGAACAGAGTCCCAGGGTCACAACAAGTTGGAGAGAGACTCGACAAATGGGACTACCTTAAAATAAAAAGCTTCTGCACAGCTAAATCTATCGCAACTAAGCTAGAAAGACAACCAACTAATTGGGAAAAAATATTTACCAGCAATATATCAGACAAGGGGTTAACATCCTGTATATACAGGGAACTCAAGAAACTAATCCCTCCCAAACCTAACAAACCAATTACTAAATGGGCAAGGGAACTAAAGAGGGACTTCTCAAATGAAGAAATAAAAATGGCAAAGAAACACATGAGGAAATGTTCATCATCCCTGGTGGTGAAGGAAATGCAAATAAAGACAACCCTGAGATACCACCTTACCCCAGTCAGAATGTCCCACATCCACAAATCAGCCAACGACAAATGCTGGAGGGGATGTGGAGAAAGAGGAACCCTATTACACTGCTGGTGGGAATGTACACTTATACAACCACTTTGGAAAGCAGTCTGGAGGGTCCTTAGAAAGCTAAAGATTGACCTCCCTTACGACCCAGTCATACCACTTCTAGGCATCTACCCTGAACAACAGGAACCAATATACAAGGACACGTGCACCTCCATGTTTATTGCAGCACTGTTCGCAATAGCTAGGATATGGAAACAACCTAGGTGCCCCACCACAGATGAATGGATCCAAAAAATGTGGTATCTATACACAATGGAATATTATGCAGCCATTAGAAATGACAAAATAATGGCATTTGCAGGGAAATGGATGGAGCTAGAAGGAATCATGTTGAGCGAGGTAAGCCAAGAACGAAGAGACAAACGGTACATGGTCTCCCTCATAAGTGGATGCTAAATCCAAAAGGTTAGTGATACGACAAAACTAACAGGACTTAAGAAACAAAGAACTCCCGCTCATCTGGTTGAACCACTACTAAATATCCTCATGCTGCTGATCACAAATATGGTATATAACATGTGAACACTGTTATATATTACAGACTGTGGTAGACAATTTGCTCCAGGGAAGTTAGAATGAACTTGTGACTTTGAAATTATGTAATCATTTAATCACAATCAAAAAAAAAAAAAAAAAAGAACCTCGGGGAAGGGAGGGAGGGAGGGGATGGTAGGGGGAAAACAATGGAGGGGGTAACAATGTTCAAGAGGAAGTGTACTCATAACCTCACTCATGTAACTGTAACCCTCTGTATAGTAGCTTTACAATAAAAAAATAAAATAAAAAAAAAAAAAAAAAAAAAAAAGAAAACAAAGGAAACCAAAAAATGGTCCACATATAGCTTCTGTACATAGCATATTTCTTAATAACAAGGAAGTTGGTGGCTTTCATTTACTTCGAGGGACAAGGTCTGTGCCTTATACTATCATAATGCAAATTTTGTAGGTCTAACCTGGCACTCCTCTACCCCTTGAAAAGACTAGAAAAACTAAATACAAATCCTTAATATTGGGCTGGGAAGGTGGCTCAGTGGTAGAATGCTTGCCTTGCATGCATGAGGCCCTGGGTTCGATTCCTCAGCACCACATAATTAGAAAAAGCCAGAAGTGGCACTGTGGCTCTAATGGTAGAGTGCTAGCCTTGAGCTGAAGAGCTGAGGGACAGAGCCCAGGCCCAGAGTTCAGGCTCCATGACCGACAAAAAAAAAAACACCTTACTTTTGACTTACTTATAAAAGAGCAAGAATGTTTCAATAGTCAGCTACTAGTAAAGGTATTATATACATACATTAACAAACTTCAAAGAACAACACAGAATCATGAAAGTTAAAATACTGAAAGTTAATTTCCCCTTTGATTAGCATAAAGAAAAATATGGAATTCTAGAGTACAAGCAGACAATGTAGTAAACAGCCTCCTAAGTGATCTGTTCTGAAAGTTTTATGAGAGACCAGGTTCTCTTGATGAGAAGTCATTCTGCTTGTCCACGTTTTTTTTTGCCATCACATTCATTTCTCCTTCATGAACATCATGTGAACTTGTGACAGGCCAGTCACATAAAGCAACCTGTCAAGAAGATTTTACTAAATAAATCATTTCTCTATAAAATACTTACCTTCGTCTTTTAATTGATCAGCTTTCCCCACATCTTCAGGAACTGAGATGGAGAGGGGCAAAATGTCATTCTGAAAGCAAATAGGAGTCAATGTACTTCTGTTTGACTACAAAGTCATCCTAGAATACTATAAATGAAGAAATAATAATTTGACACATTTTGGTAACTTACCTGTATTTCCACTTTATATAAATCTAACACCTAAATACTAGTGTTAATAAGAAGTGAGGAGAAGTCTTCTTACATACTTTTATTGGAAATATGATCCTGTTGAGTTTTTCTAAGTACTGTGAATCGATTTTTTAATTTGCTTTTCCCAACCCCAGCAGTTCTACTTTAAGAAAAAAAATGGAATGTTTCTACTAGGGAAACTTTTGAAGAAAAATCTTTATTACTATCTTATCTAAAAGATACAAAAAGTCAAAAATCAGTTTACCAATAAACAAATTTATAGTAATGATCATTATTTAAATATGTACAGGCACACATACATACACACACAAAGACTAGAAGCAAGGCACAGTTGGCTCACACTTATAATCTTAGCTACTCTAAGATCCTGAAGATTGAGGTTCCAAGTCAGCCCAGGCAGAAAAGTCTGTAAGATTCCAATCGTCAAAATAACCAGTAAAAGCTGGACAGGAGGCGTGATTCAAGTGGCAGAATACTAGCAGAGCAAACAAAAGATTTTGATTTCAAACCTTAGTATTAGCAATGAAAAAACAACTCTAATACCAAAAGGTTAACAATAATATCTAATCTAGTATTGGGAGGAGCTGGGAATGTAGCTCAGTAGTAGAGTACTAGCCTAACATGTGCAAGGCTGTACATTCAATCTGTAGCAATGTGATAAAATAAAAAACACAAAAACATGTAAACATATTTCTGAGACTTGAATTCAGAACCTGGTGCTTTTTTGTGCTCAAGGCTAGCATTTTACCAGTTAAGCCACACCTCCACTTCCAGCTTCTTCTTTTTCTTTCTTTTTATTCATTTATTTATTTTTCTGGTGAGTGACTGGAGATAAGTGGCTCATGAACTTTCCAGCCTAAGCTTTGAACTGCATTCCTCAGATCTCAAGCCCCTTGATTAGCTAGGCTTACACACACGAGTCATGAGTCACAGGTACATGGCTACAGAATATTTAAAACAATGAATATATACTAATTTTGTTCTAAAATAGAAGCCTTTATAAAATTTTTGTTTGGCATTTACTATCATCCTCAAACTATTTTTGCATTAATAAGGTTCAAAACAAAGGAAAATTAAGAGTGGAAAATTCAGAAATACTTTTGAGTGGAACTAAAAACACAATGTATTTTTTTCATTTTTGAAAACCTCTTTTTGAAATTGCATTACTTTTAAACTTGACCCTAAAGTTCAAAATAAGTCTAAAATTTTTCTTTTGTTTTGGTTGTGGGGCTTGAACTGTGGGCTTGGGTGCTGTCCCTGAGCTCTTTTTGCTCAAGGCTATCACTTTACCACTTGAGCCACAGTGCCACTTCTGGTTTGCTGATGGTTCATCAGCGATGAGAGCTTCACAGACTTTCCTTGCCTAAGCTGGTTTGAACTGCAATCCTCAGATCTCAGCCTCCTGAGTAGCTAGGATTACAGGCATGAGCCACCAGTGCCCAGCTTACAATTTTGAAACTAGTGTAAGTTATAGCTATTGCAGCTATGCATTACTTAAAATATATCTACCATTGCCTTTGTCTTCACTAAAGTTTCAAGAAAATGGATAGATCTAACAAATATAGCACAAGAATTCAAAAGTGTAAAATCACTGACAAGTTTTATCTTTGTCTTTTAAAAAAAATCTGTATTAATCACTTTATCCCAGTAGAAAATATTGGAATAAAGAGAGTAGAAATGAAATGGAAAACTTCAAGAGGTTAACTACATATACAGTAGTTCAAAGACATATTACTGTCCTATAGTACTTGCTCTTAGGGTTCCTTCTATTATAGATTTTTAAAAATCTAGGCAACTTCAGGGGAGCTCTTTTTCTGCCAAGCCATTTAGATAATTATAATATCATTCAAAGCCATACAAAATTATCAGTACAGGCAGATGGTCTCAGGCAGCCAATGAGAAGAGTTATGGATAGCAATAGAAAATCAGTATTATAAAAGTGACCAAAATGCCACACAAGTACACTAAAGAGACAAGTATTTCTTATTAGTTATATAATGTGGAGGCTGTTTCAGACAAGTCCTAAACTGCTGCTGCCACAGTCTGCTAAGTAAAGCCACAGCTGCATGGGAGGACTGCAGAAGGACGATGACACCATAAATAACATTGCTGTAGCTGTCCTAGGGAGCAACTATATTTTAAAAATTGCATGCAACAAATTTCTTACAAATAAATGAATCAGAGAGATACAGTAAAAGGGGAAAAAAAGAGTTTTACTTAAGAGTATAAAAGTCAATTATAACTTCATGAAAGGAAAAAATGAAAGTAAATTCAGATCTCATCAGTACAAAGTCAATGGTGATAGTAGCTAAAGAGCAAGCAAGTTCAAGTGCTGTCTCAGCCTCAGAAACCTGCAAGTAAAGGTCTGCTTCAGCTATTGAAGCAAGGTTTCCTACAGAGGCCACAAGCCCCTGCACAGAGGAGGCAAGCACTCCCCCACTGAGCTACAGCTTCAACCCTCAAATTACATCATAGTCTACATTTCTTGAAACGGACAGAAATCAAAACTATGAAAACAGTCCTTGGGAGAAGGGATAAGAAAAGTCGGGTTTTCATACTGACCCTGAACACTTGTGTTTTCCTGAATCCCTTCAATAACTAAATTGATGAAATCCACTTCACAAATGATTCAACTCCAGATGAACTTGTTTCGGCAAGATTACTTTCTAGACTTTAAGCTTTTTGTTGTTAAAGGTAGTTTGTGTTTTAGAAGTATGTCAATTAGATGTCATTAATCTGAAAATGTTCACACTTATAAAGGACTTAAAATGTTGACAAAGATGTATCATTGAATATAAAAGGTGAGAGAGAGAAATGTTACTAATATAAAATCTAAAGTATATAAGGGATAAGCTACACTTTTGACCACAATTAAATCATATAAACTATCTTATATCCAGAAAGAAGTTATTTACTTATAGACTTAAGTCCCTCAACTAAATTGTCATCATTCTTACATCACAATAATAACATACCTTATGGATGGAATTGGTGAACAATTCTGTCAAAGGCTGTGAAACTGCCAGGTGTGTATCTTCTGGGCTGATTTTAAAAACTGTCTCCAAGCACTGAATTGCAACTTGAAACAAATATTTTTGTGAAAAAAATTAGTAACTAATTTTTTTTTCTCTAACAGGACTGTAATCTGTCAGTACTTATGAACACAGAACAACAGGAAATCTAACTGGCCCAGCTACACAGAAATTTTGTTTATAAACAAAATATTGATGGAAAGACAATGGTTTCTTATTCACCAAAAAGGTAAATATTATACAGAATATGATTTTTTAATATATCCAAAAATTCTTGTTATAGGCTACTAGGAAGAAAATCAGGTCATTAACAAGTTACTCCTGAACATCTATTTAACTAATCAACAATGTCTTAATCCCTTGAACAAACAAAATAGTATATATATTTTAAATAGAACTCTTGATTAAAAAATAAAAAATTACAGAAACAAAGTATCTAGCACAAAGGAAGCACTAAATATTAATCAGCACACTCACTTACATAAAGGTAGGTTAGTATTTAAAAATTCATTCATTCATGCAAATTTTTCAAGTGCCTGTGTGTACTATGCTCTTCTAAAGTGGTAGAGAGCAGCAATCAACCTCACAGTAAAAAAATCACTGTCCACATGATAGTGGAAAAGGTAAGTGGTTGTTAGGGAGGAGTGTAAGAGTAAGACTGGATACAAAGGAAACTATGTTAGAAAGGAAGTTTGTCATCTGACATAGGCAGCTTATCTGGATTTGAGAATGATTTGGACTTTGGGGTAGTTCATGCCTATAATCCCAACTAGTTGGGAGACTGCAGTTCAAGACCATCCCTACCATCCTGTTCCCCCCACCTGAAAAAAAACTTAGGAAAAAAGAAAACAAAGATCTTATCTCAAAGAACAAGCTAGAATCAGGCATGTTGGCATATGCCTACAATCTGAACTATATAGGAGGAGTGAGCGGGAGGATAGATATCCTATCTGAAAAATTACTGAAAAAAAAAAAGACTGCAGGTGTGGTTCATGTGGTAGAGCACTTAACAAGTATAAGGCTGTAAGTTCAAATCTAATAATGCAGGGAAGGGGGAGCCAAGCATGGTAGCAAACACCTATAGTCCCAACTACATGGAAGGCAGAGATGGGAGGACAATTTGAGAACAATCTGTTTAAAGTTAGAATGACATCCTATCTGAAAAACAAGCTAAAGGAAAAAGGATTGAAAGTTTGGCTAAGCAGTTAAAACCCTGAATTCAAACTCCAATACCTTACCAAAAAAAAAAAAAAGATAAAATATTTAGACTAAGTGAAGGAGTCATGTTTGTGTTTAGAACTAGAAGTCTTCTAGGAGTACTGGGGATGGATTAAAAAGGGAAGCTGGTATAATTTGTGGAGGGGAAGGGAAAAAAACAAATTGTTTAAATAGGGATATAGGTGGACCCTTTGCAATAATGAGATGTACAAGATGTTATGTAGAAAATGAACTTTACAACTTTGCAGGGGGTGGGGGGGGAGGAGAGTGGGGGGAGATGGGAAGGGATGGGAAAGGATGGGAAGAGGAAACAAAGGAGGCAACAATGCTTGGTAAGAAATGCACTCATTACCTTGCCCACGTAATTGTAACCCCTCTCTATGGTATTTTCACAATTAAAAAAAAAAAAGGATCCCAAACCACCAAAAAAATAAAAATAAATAAAAAAGGGGACTATGTGGAACAATAGAAGCAGAAAAACCAGGCAGGTTCCTGCTTAAATGAGACGGACAAGTGAGGAGCATGATGGAGAGTAGGGACAAGAAGAATGCAGACCCAGTCTTCTCAGAAGGATTCCCATCCGGATAGTGCTCTAGTCTGAAAGAAACCAAGAATGTTGCCAACATGCCCAATGTGCTTCCAGATGGTATAGAACAGATTCCTGCACATTTTATGTGTCTTCTACAAAACACATTATGTAATCATTGTGAACTTGAGAAAATTCCGTGTCATAAAAGAAATACTACTGTCACTAGAACAAATCTCTTTATTGCTGTCAGAAGGCCAAAGTTCCTCATTCTTCTTATTTCCTTCCTTCCTTCCTTCTTTCCTTCCTTCCTTCCTTCCTTTCTGTCTTTCTGTGTGGATACGTGTGTATAGGGGGAATGTCCTAAAAAGCCATGTGAACTTATACAACTGATCACCGAGGGTAATGAAAATATGAAGGTATAGAACACATAGTATGATTGCCTGGCAACATTAAGCGTCTGCTAGAGGTGGGCGCTGGTGGCTCAATGCCTGTAAACCCTGCTACTTAGCAGATTGAGACATGAGGATCGGGATTCAAAGCCAGTGGGGCAGGAAAGTCCCTGAGACTCTTATCTCCAATTAACCACCAAAAAAACCCCTGGAAACAGAGCTGTGGATCAAAGTGGGAGAATGCTAGCCTTGAGCCCAGGCCCTTATGTCAAGCCCCATGACTACCAAAAAAAAAAAAAAAAGCCAGGTGCTGGTGGCTCAGGCCTGTAATCCTTAGCTCCTCAGGAGGCTGAGCTCTGAGGATTGCAGTTCAAACCAGCCCACGCAGGAAAGTCCGAGAGACTCTTATCTACAATAAACCGCCAGAAAACCGAAAGTGACACTATGGCTCAAGTGGTGGAGTGCCAGCCTTGAGCTGAAGAGCTGAGGGACAGTGGCCAGGCCCAGAGTTCAAGCCCCACGACCGACAAAAAAAAAAAAAAGTCTGCTGGAGTTTCACAGCCAAGAATTCAAATACCAAATACCAACAGTTAACAAAGTTATATATTCTGTTCCATCAATATTCAGCCACTTGGATGTAGGCATGGAGTTAGATTTAAGCCAGGGTGAATTCTGAAAGAAAGGCAAGGAAATACAAGAAAATGATTAAGATGGTCCACATGTAATTTAAGATGGGTAAGAATCAGAGTGGGAATAGTAAGATATCAACAGATAGGAAGGATTCTTTGGGATTCTAGAAGGGAGTAGTCTAGAATGATAGACAGTAATAGTGAGGAAGTGAAATGTTTAAGCTAGAGATTATGGGAGAAATGCAATTTTGGTAATGATAAGGTATAGGGAAGGGTTTCTTCCTTTCTTTTTTTTTTTTTTGTCAGTCATGGGGCTTGAACTCTGGGCTTGGGCGCTGTCCCTGCTCTTCAGCTCAAGGCAAGGGCTCTACCACTTGAGTCACAGCGCCACTTCCAGTTTTTGAGTGATTTATTGGAGCTAAGAGTCTCACAGACTTTCCTGCCCTGGCTGGCTTTGAACCGAGATCCTCAGATCTCAGCCTCCTGAGTAGCTAGGATTACAGGCATGAGCCACTGGTGCCCAAGCACACTGACATTTTAGATCAGATAATTCTTTTTTTCAGGGTCTATGCATACTTCATGATTTTTACTCACTACATGCCAGCAATACCAGCTCCCCCAACAGTGTTCCAACCACAAATGCCTCCAGACTTTGCAAAATCACCCAAAGATTAGAACCAATGACCTAGGGTATAAGATCACTGAAGGAGAAAAAGTCAAGAACTGAGAACCAAGGGAACTAGAGGAACTATCAGAGTTAAGACCAGGAGTAATGATTAAGAAAGTGGCATAAGAACTTCAAAAGCCAGAAGTGAAGCAGATATCATAGTTGTCAACTAAAAGGAACCCATGATGTTTTTTTTCTTTTTCTTTCCCCACCTCTCTGGCAATACTGGGGACTGAACTCAAGGCCTCAGAGCTCCAAGCTTGCTAAACAAGTACACTAACACTAGTCACACCCCTAGACTTTTTACTTTTTTGTCTGTTTTTCAGATAGGGTCTCTAGCTAACTTTGGCACAGTGGGCCTCAAACCAAAATCCTACTATCTCTACTTCCCACATAGCTGGGATTATAGATGTACATCACCATGTCCCCATATGGATAACACAGAATAATAACAAGACTCAAAGCTGATGACACACAAACTTTATAATAGTGCAAAGCCAGTGTTAGGACAGATGCTTCTTTTCTAGGACTTTTTAAAATGTCTAGAAGGTGGGCAGACACCTCCACATGGTTTCATGTTCAATTAAATTAGACTTAGAGAGTCAAAAATAGGGGTCAGTCACAAACAATTGGCACAATATCTGACTGCCAAATATAACAAACAGCTGAAGGCACATACTTTTGGCTGAATACCATGCTAAAAATAGGACATAACATCTTGGTTTTTAAAAATACTCTCAACTCTTTTTCTGGCCCTTAAAAATACACTGCCTTCGGTTAGAAAAGAAACATCTTTTTATTAAATGATTGTATGTATCTGTTTGCTACAGAGCAACTATCACCAACAATTTCCTTAGATAACCAGTCACCTTTATCTTCACACATTCTCACAGTGAAGAACAAAAAGACATTAATATTAAAGGGACTGATTGCAATGTTTTCCAACTGTGCGTCACCTGCTCCTCTCACTGTCACATAGAAAGACATCATCCTACCAGACTGCAAGCAGATTTAAAGCAAATACCCAATTTTCATTCTCCCCTCCTTCAAGCAGATTTACAAGGGAAGTATGTGTTCCCTTTTATAGGAGAAGCTGTTTCAAGATGGGGAATTCAGGCTACACTGTTATTTGCTAAATTCTCCCAAATGTATTCTTATTGCAATAATTAAGTCTTTAGACCACAAAGAAGTTAGGTTCATTGAACCACCACAAGCTCATCTGCAGAATTATATCTTATTATGGTCATGCTGTATTTAAATTTTACAATGCATAAACATGAAGCATAAAGATGGTGTCAAGTAAACACATGATGCTATGATCCAAGTCTTGCTCAACTTTAGAGATCACCAAATCCAATATTTAAAATTTATATAAAACACGGATGGAATCTTTTCAAGTCTCAAAACAGGTACATGTCAGAGCACACTAGTGGTTTATTTATTTAGATTTTTACATAGTGCTATTACAATGACTAAGGTACTTTCATGTATTATTTCTGAACTGGATACTTTGTTATTACAGAAAAAAGAGAAAAAAAATATCTTCAGAGCAGGAACCAGGACTTAAACCTCAAGCTTGTCACATATTAGCTGTTGTGTTGTGTACCTCCTCTGGTTTCATTTCCTCATTTGCTAAGTGGGAATAATACTTACCTAGTTGCTGTCATTAAAAAAAAGACATTCCCCATATTGCTGATATGGTAATTGTCAATTGTTAATGAGTAGTCCTATTCTGTTGTTACTTAAAACAAAGCATGCTTCAAAAAACAGAAATAAGAGGTATAGTTTTGCTTCTCTGCTTGAGATATCAACAAATATTAAGATTTTATTATAATGGAGTACAAGCTCAGGCTTGTACCTATTTTGGTCTTTCTTTGTAACACAAACGAACACAAAAAAACCAGGTGCCTACCTTCCAAACTTTCTTGTTCATCAGAAGTATATGTATCCATCTGACTTTGTTCCCGCAAGAACCGAATCACTGCATAAACAAGGTGCTTGATAGATGACATTTTAGAAGCTTAAACTTCCTTGATAAGAAAAATGAACAAATTTGGCCCAGATATTTCTAGGAATCACTCAAGAAAGATAGAAATTATAAAGGTAAGGGCTATATATTACATTAAAAGTTAAAAGAAATAGCCTGGTAATCCTAACTTCTCAGGAGGCTGAGATCTACAGATCGCCGCTGGAAGCCAGCCTGGGCGGAAAGTCCATGAGACTCTTATCTCCAATTAACTACCCAGAAAAATCCAGAAGTGGCACTGTAGTCCAAGTGGTAGAAACTAGCTTTGAGCACAAAGAGGCTCAGGGACAGCTCCCAGACCTGAGTTCAAGTCTTAGGACTAGCAAAAAAACAAAACAAAAAACAACCCAAGCTACTCAGGAGGCTGAGATTTGAGGATCAGCTTTCAAATCCAAGGCAGGAAAGTCCATGAAACTCTTATCTCCAATTAACCACCAGAAAACCAGAGGTGGCACAGTGGCTCAAAGTAGTGGAGTGCTAGCCTTGAGTGAAAGAGCTTAGGGACAGTGTCCTCACCCTGAGTTCAAGCCCCTCGAAGTACCAAAAAAAGCATCAAAATCAAAATCAGAAAAAAAACTTTCATTACCTTAATCTTTGGGATCTGGAGAGTTAATATTACAGAAATTTATTACATATTTTTATTTAAACTCAATAGTATTAGACTATCTTGCAGCAGTAATTTTTATTTTATTTTGGTTGTAAGTCTTGAACTTTGGGCCTGGGCACTGCCCCTGAGCTTTTCAGTTCAAGGTAAACGGTCTACCACTTGAGCCACAGCACCACTTCTGGTTTTCTGGTGGTTTATTAGAGATAAAGAGTCTCATGGACTTTCCTGCCCGGGCTGGCTTTGAACTGTTATCCTCAGATCTCAGCCTCCTAAGTAGCTAGGATTACAGGTGAGAGCCACTGGCGCCCAGCTGCATCAGTAATTTTTTTTCAAAACATGTATAACATAAGCTTAGATTCTCATTAAACCTTAATATATGATAAATATACATAAAAGGGTTAAGACTGCACATAAAGACACAGAAATTCACACCCAAAGGCCTTAGTACTGAGTTGAGGAAGGTTTCATCCTGCTGACTCAGAAGGTGAGCCTCTATTTCAAGAGATTTTTTTAAAATGTATTAAAAATTTATACTCCACCTACTTTTGTAGGCTGAGTTATTTGATAAGGAAATAGACCCAAGAAAGGTTGTTCAATCATGGAACGTTCTTATTGATAAATGGCATATCTAGTTAATCAACAGACACGTCAGGGAACCATTGCCTATGCCCACGGACACTACAAACCGACCAGGGCTCTGCAGTAGCTGATCTGGCTCTCTCTCGTGCACAAGCTAGAAGTCAGGTTCATTCACACGGAATACTATCGCTTCCAAACGGAGGCGCAGGGCCAGCCGGCATTAATGGCTTATTTCCACTAAATCGCATCATCCATCTGCTCCCCAGGTTCCCTAATTCAAAGCCAGGGTGTGGTACCCGCCGCTAGGATGTTTATTAGTTGTTTAAAGGCCAGCCCAGCCTCTAGGCCACAGGCTAGTTAGAAATCCTAAAGAAGGCCTCAGGGCAGAAGGTGACGAGAGACCCGGGGGTGGATGATGGGGTGCAGAGGAGCAATGAGCTGTGCAACCTCTTCTAGGCTTTTCCTCCTCATACCCACCTCCCACTCCAGGCCTCCCCCCCTCCTTCGCGCACCCGGGCCTAGCCTCAACCCAGAAGGGGTGTGCAGCCGGTGTGTGGTGCGGGCCGGTGTCCGGGGCTGCGGGAGACGCACCGTTTCTAGACAGAAGCCCCTTACCAAGCGAGAGGATGCCAGACGACGGCCGAGGGCCGGGGAGCGTCCGTGAGGGGGCCGCTTGCCCCCTCGTCCTCAAGGCTTTAGCCTGGCTGGGGATCCCAGCACTGCCTGCGACCTCCCAAACTTCTCCAGCTCCCACGCCTCCGCCGCCGCCGCCGCCGCCGCCGCCGCCGCCGCCGCCACCGCCCCCTCAGCCCACCAGGCTGCGCGCAAGATTCCCAGACGCTAAGGTCTCGCCGGCTCCGCCCCCAGGGCGTGGCAGGACGGCCAGGGGCGGGGCTATGGGCGTGATCAGACGGGCCAGGGGCGTGGCTGTGGGCGGGGGCGGCGTGGGGCTGCCGCACGTGGGAGGGCGCTGGCAGGGCTGGCCGCCGCCGGTTCCAACGCTGTGGCCTCCTTCGTGAGGCCTACTGTGGGCACCCGGGAGACCGGATTGCACCGCCTTCTTCCTGCACCCCCTAGACCGGAGGATCTCGCGTCCGCCGCTGCCAGCCTCTCGGTGTGCCCATGATCGCCAGGTGCCTTTCAGCTGTGCGAGGCCTCCACAGGTACCTCCGGTGCGCGCGTTAACCTTGACCGTGAGCTCAGCGGGGTCTTCTGGCGGCTTGGGCCACGCCGGGCGGCCGCGCGCGGCCTCTCCGCGCCCCGGCCGTGCTCCTCACACCGTCCCCTCCCCGCAGCCAGCTCCGTCGGCCCCTCCGGAACACCTGGCGCGGCCACCTGGGGCCTCCCTTCCCCGTGCCTCCCGAGGACACCCATTCCCCTTTGTTCGGGTGGGCCTCAGCCGCAGTCTGGGAGACCCGACACCGACCCAACCCGAAATGAATGCGGGAAGATGGGCGGGGTACGAAGACCCTCCCACCTTCTCCCACACCCGCCACCGCAGAGCTGGCTTGGAAAATGCCGCAGCCGCCGCTCGGACCCGAGCGGTCCCCCTCGCACCCGCGCGCACACTGTCAGCATGCTGGCCGTTCCCGTCCGCGCACGAAACTGCTCGGGTCTTGCGATTTATTTCCGCTTGTGCTTTCTAACTTCCGTTTGGGTTTTCTTTCCCCCTCCTGACTTCGCCCAGAATTACTGTAGCTTGTGCGTGGTTTCAGGCTGCCGGGGCTGCTGCTGCTAGGATTGCTTCCTTGCTCTCATAACCACACCCCTCTGCAACCCTCCAGTAACAAGATGGTGAGAGAATGAAATTCTTGGCACGGAGGCACTGGTTTGGGGAAACAATGACGCCGCCACCCCTCTTGCCCAAATCTCCAAACTGAAGGCTCAGCAGAAGAAAACAAATGTGTGAGGTTTTTCTTTATTCCCTTGATATCTACAACACAACTTTGGAACACACCATCATTTATGTGTTGTTTTTTTTTTATATAGTTCTCTATTGTACATTGCCACTTTTGAAAGGAGCTTTGTGTTTCTGAATCTTTGTAGTTCTCATGAGTCCAGGGAACAGCAGTGATTATAAAGACTTGATGTGATGATCGTAACCATATTTTAGGCTGTCTTTTTAAGGTTTTGGTCTCCCTGCTGCAAGTTGGTATAATAGCTATCGCTATCAAATGAAGCAATACCAACAAATGAAAGAAGTCACATAAGGACTCTGTGAGAGAACAGAATGAATCTTTGTGAAAGACAGCTGTTCTCAAACTTTTTACTCTCAGAACCCCCCTGTACCTCTCAAAATTGCTGAGAACCTAAGAGCTTACATTTATGCGGATTGTATCTGCCCACACTTACCATAAAAGAACTTAAAACTGGAGATATTTATAAAGTATTTCTTAGATACTGGGCACCAGTGGCGCATACCTGTAATCCTAACTACTTAGGAGGCTGAGATCTGAGAATCATGGGTCAAAGCCAGCAGGGGAACGAAGGCCAAGGAAACGCTTATCTTTTAATTAACTACCAAAAAACTGGAAGCGGAGCTGTGGCTCAAGTGGTAGAGCTGTAGCAAAAAAAGCTCAGAGACAGCACCTAGGCCCTAAGTTCAAGCCCAGAATCAGCATAAAAAAAGAGAAGTATTTCTTAGTTAAGTGGGTTCTGTACAGAAATATTTTGTTTACCCAATGGACACTTGGGTTGTATCTGTCCTTTGGTTCTTGACAATAATGCTACTATCACATTTGTGCAAATATGTGTTTTGGGCCTGCTTTCAGTTCCTTGGGCTGCATGCGCCAAGGAGAAGTTGCTGACTTACATGGTAATTCTATGTTCAGTATTTTGAGGAGCCACCATACTATTTCCTCTGGAAACTGTGCCATTTTACATTCCCATCATCAATGCACAAGGATTCCAACTTCTCCATGTTGCCACAACACTTTATTTTCTAGTTTTGATATAGTTATTTTAGGAGTGCCGTTATTTTGCATTTTTGCAAAAGTAATGTGTGATAATACAAGATAGCTGGATTCAGACATCTGCTTCCACATTTAATTTGGTATATTATTTTGATTTGGCTTGAGAAAATGAAGAACATTTTACCCGACTTTCAGATATAGTTGGAACTATTCAATAACTTTTATAAGTAATCATGGATGTTGTTTGGTATCACACCGTTTAACAGATAGTAGTTTTTAAAAGTTTAGTTGCAAAGTGAAATCTGAACCCACACTTAAAATCCATTGGGAGCATCTTGCATTTTTAATTGGTCTTCTACCAATGCATGACTTTATAACATGAAGGAAATCATTTGAAAATTAATGTCACACTGGGTTACATAGTTCTTCCTGGAACTGACATGTTGTATTATGTGATGTCAAACAATTACATTTCTTAATGTCTTTATCTGTCCCATTAGAAAAGTCTTTGACTGTTAGAAAACTGCCAAAATTTTGATTTTCATTTGAAAGATAGAATTTTGTCACTAACAACATTCTGTCAACTGTATTCCTGGAAATGACAGTCACACTTTATTACATTTTTGACAGTTTCTGCCATATACTTAAGTCAGAATAACACGGATATATCTATCAATAGTTTGATCAAGTAAAAATGGAATACCAGGCAATATGGTACTGGAGACTGAGGCAGGGTGGTAATATGAAGCCAGCCCGGGCTATATAGCAAGATCAAGAATATCCTGGGCTACATAGTGAGATCTTACCTCAAAATAAATGATGTTTATGAAACACCATTTGGTGATAGAAGTGCTTTAATCTGGATATTGAAATCCCCTGGACAGTTATTGGGCTCTGGCAAACAACAGAAGTGCTTTATGTAACTAGGCTACATATATACATATATGTGTATGCCTGATGGCACATACCTGGAAGCTGAAATTTGGAGGGTTGTGGTTTGAAGCCAAAGTTCACAAGATCCTCCTCTCAACCAATAGTCCCAGGGCAACCTCAAGGAAAAAAGTTAGACTCCCTTCTGAACAGAAAAACCCTGGCATGATAGTTTGTGTCTATCATCCCAGCTATACCTTGGAATTGTCAATATTTGGGGCAATCTATCCTGTCTCAAAATAACTGGAGCAAAAAGGGCTGGAGGTGTGGCTTACCCAAACTAGCATGAAACCTTGATCTCAAATCCCAGTGAGGCAAAGGGAAAGGGGAGGTTTTATTGTTCTTGGCCACAAAAATATGCAGAAGGTGAGAGATTTTACTATTACATCAAGGATTTTTTTTTCATATAAGAGTAGAGTCGGGACTGGGAAGGTGGCTCAAGTGGTAGAGCGCTAGCCTTGAGCTGAAGAGCTGAGGGACAATGCCCAGGCCCAGAGTTCAGGCCCCACGACCAAACCCAAAAAAAAAAAAAAGAGTAGAGTCATAAAGAATATAACTATGGACATAGTTGGTGCCACTGCTTTGACTTGTAGAAAAGACCAGCAGTTTATCCAGCATTGCTTTTCATCATCAATACAAATGTCAGCAAGGAAAAAAATGATACATGATGCCTTGGTGCTATGAAAGATTTTTAACCTTAAAGACTAGACTCTTTGAAAGAGTAAAACCTTTACTCTCATGGTTTATAGACCACATTTTGATAACTGTTGATACATCATTTCACAGTGCTGTTTATATAAGGAAGAAAATAAATACATAAAAAGCCATGCAGTTATTAAATTGTTAAAATCAAGTGATCTACCATAAATATACTAGTTTTTTTTACATGAAGGCATATATTTCTCTTGGTCCTTGCTTCTCAGGACGTAAGTGACTTAATCACAGAATCTAGTGTTTGTTTCAAAATATCTGTTCTCTGCTAAGAACAGTTTGTTTCTTCACTAGGAAGTTCACTGTGGTGCTATGTCAATAACTGACTTAGGGTTACTCTTTTGACAGAGCTGCCATATACCCTACCTAAGGTAGTGTGGCAATCAGGATCATTGATCAGTTTCTTAGAAATAAATGAAGTTGGGATCTAGGAGATTGGACAGTAGTTGTCCAACTAATCTTTTGACCTTAAGTAAGTCACGCATTACATTGGACCATCTCAGGTTCTATTTTTTTTTTTTTTTGGGTGCCAAACAGTGACAGCAGTACCAGTCACCTTTTATTCAGCGATAATTGTCTCAGAATGTGAAAGGACTCCGCTGTGATTAAGTTGACAGATGGGAGCCAGGCCAGACAGCATCCATCAAGAATACAGGTAGCCTCATGGCTCTTCAGGCTCTTCAGTGGTACTTGCGATGCCGTTCATGTTTAAGCTCCCTGTAGCAATGGCAGTAGTTGAAAAAGTACATAGCAAGCCAGCACCATGTTGACCCCAGGATGCTCCCTTTCTTCACATTGATGTACTTGTTGAAGTACCGGTCATAACCTCTCCGAAATGCTCCAGCAATGCCTTTTGGGGTGAAGTCCCTCATCAAAATCCAGTTTGGCAGCTCTACTAGTTTGACATCCATTAGTTTCTTTTCCTTCAGTGGTACTATTGACCCCATCTTGGAGTCCTGCTCAGGTTCTATATTTTGTAAAGCAAAAAGGACTAGGTTAAATTATATAAAAGGTTTCTTTCAACTCTCAAGTTGCCACAGCAATTGAACTGGGAGGATTTTTAAATCTTCTCATTTAGCCAGGTTGCATAGCATGTGAGCTAAGCCTAGAATGCAAGATGGATAACATGGTCACAGAAAGAAAAGAGAAATACTACTCAACAATATTTCCATAGCCCAAATGATTGTCACAATATCCCTTCTCTTTCAATAATAAAGAAAGGAGCTTGGTCTTACAAATTATGACATCAATGCATGTTCCCCATAAGAAACAAAATAATGACAATCAAATGAAAATATTAGAAATATACAGTGTACTCTCCAGGAAAACTTCCAAAATTTCTTCTACAGTAGAAATGCTTTTTTTTTTTTTTTGCAAATATGAGATTGCCAACTTATAATTTTAATGTAATAAGACATCCTTCCATAATATACATAACTATCACATAGTCTACTTGGGGGTTATATGAAAAAGAAATTTTTTTTGGTTAGTCATGGGGCTTGAATTTAGGGCCTGGATGCTGTCCCTGAGCTCTTTTTGCTCAAGACTACCACTTTACCACTTTGAGCCATGGCACTACCCCAGTTTTCTGGTAATTAGTTGGAGATAAGAGTCTCATGGACTTTTTTTCCCCCTTTCCCTATGCTGGCTTTGAACCGTGATCCTCAGATCTCAGCCTTCTGAGAAGCTAGGATTACAGGTATGAGTCACCAGCACCCGGCGGTTGTATGACATTTAATTGATCCCTTTCTTTGGGTATGTCAGCACATGTCAGTTATTTCCAACATCTTACTATGAGTGACAGTACTTGGATAAATATTCCTATGAAGTCTTTTTCAAACCCTTTATTATTTTCTTGATATAAGCTCTTAGAAATAGAATATACGTGTATATTGTCAGGTCTTTATACTTATTATATTCTCCAAAAAGCATCTCACCATTTATACTAAACAAGCAGAAAGTGTCAGTGCCAATTTCCCACACCCTTACTAACACCTGAGCATTTGGGGGTACTCTGTGTGTGTGTGTGTGTGTGTGTGAGAGAGAGAGAGAGAGAGAGAGAGAGAGGGAGAGAGAGAGAGAGAGAGAATGCATTTTTGGGTTTGAACTCAGGGCCTTACACTCTTTTTGGGGGGGGGGGGGGCAGTTGGTCATAGGGCTTGAACTCTGGGCCTGGCTGCTGTCCCTGAGCTCTTAAGCTCAAGGCGAGCACTCTACCATTTGAGCCATGACGCCATGTCTGGTTTTCTGGTGGTTTATTGGAGATAAGAGTCTCACGGACTTTCCTGCCCGGGCTGGCTTTGAATCGTGATCCTCAGATCTCAGCCTCCTAAGTAGCTAGGATTACAGGTTTGAACTACCAGCGCCGGGCAAGGGCCTTACACTCTTGCTTGGCTTTTTCTTTTCCCTCAAGGTTAGCAGCTTACTGCTTGAGCCACACCTCCACTTTCTGCTTTTTGGTGGTTAACTAGAGATAAGAGTCTCACAGACTTTTCTGCTTGAGCTAGCTTTAAACCACAACCTTCAGATCTCAACTTCCTGACTAGCTAGGATTACAAATATGAACCACTGGTGCCCAGCTGCTTTTTGGGTACTTTTTATTAGGGAATAGTAATACAAAGTAACATGTTTTATTGTAATATTTCCATACATAAATGTAGTGCCAGGCCTCGGTGGCTCACGCCTGTAATCCTAGCTACTCAGCAGGCTGAGATCTGAGGATCACGATTCAAAGCCAGCCTGGCAGGAAAGTTTGTGAGACTCTTATCTCCAATTAACTACCAGAAAATCAGAAGTTGCGCTGTGGCTTAAGTGGTAGAGCGCTAGCCTTAAGCTGAAGAGTGCAGGAACAGAGCCCAAGCCCAGAGTTCAAGCCCCGCGACCAACAACAACAACAAAAAAAGCATAAATGTAGTATATGTAAATCATATTCACCTTCTATATTCTTTTACCTTTTATAATTTTCAGGTTTTTTAAATGAGTTTCATCATGATATTTTCATATGTGTCTGCAATATACTTTGATCATTTACCACCGCCCTCACTCCCTTCCCCCTCCTGGGTTATCTCCCAAGTAGTTCCCAGTCTGTGCTCATGTTCTTTTGTGGGCCTAGGTTCTACATAGGATAGAAAACATAAGTGTCTTTCTTAGTTGTTATTCTGTTTAATATGATAGTCTCCAATTTCACCAATTTTCTTGCAAATAACATGATTGCATTCCTTGATGATAGCTATTCTGGTTGGGATGAGATGGAATCTCAGTGGGGTTTTTTGTTTGTTTGTTTTTGTTTTGTGGCAATATGGGGCTTTAAATTCAGAGCCTTGTGCTTGCTATACAAGTGCTCTATTACTTGAGCTATATGCCCATTCCTTTTTGGTTTTTTTTTTTACTCATGCTTTTTCTCTAGACCAACCTCTAGCATAGCTGCAATTACAAGCTTGTACCACTGCACTCATTTTATCTGTTGAGATGGGACATCAAGTATCTGCCTCCTAAGTTGCTAGGATTACAAACTGAACCACCACACCTGGTTTCAATGTAGTTTTGATTTGCATTTCCTTTATGACTAAGGTTGTTAAACATGTCTTCATGTTTTGAGGTAATTATGAGTGAGATTATTTTCCTGATTTCTTTCTTGCATTTTAGGGTTTGTTATTCTTACCAATTCAATAAGTGGAAACTTCTCTTAGTATAATTCAATTTCCTTACATGCAGTGACTATCTGACAAAAATTCAGGACTGAGAAACCAGACATCTTAAGATTATCTTCCCAAATCCAGTAACACTGGAAACCTTCAAATTTTTGATGACGATGCTAGGGGAAAAAAAGTCTGGTAAAGAAAGGCTTTTTTACATTAAAGCTAGTCGGAGTTTGTTTGTTAAAACTGGATAAAAGTAAATTATAAATGAATCCAGGTGTGATGGTACATGCCTCTAATTCCAGCACTCAAATGGCACAGACAGGAGGATTAAGAGTCCAGGACACTCTGGGCATATTTTGAGAACCTCTTTAGAAAAACAACAAGACGGGCACTGGTGGTTTATGCCTGTAATCCTACCTACTCAAGAGGCTGAGATCTGAATATATTGGTTTGAAACCACCCCTGGCAGGGAAGTCTGTGAGACTCTTATCTCCAGTTAACTACAAAAAAAGACAGAAATGGAGCTGTGGCTCAAATGGTAGCGTGCTAGCCTTGAGTGAAAAATCTGCAAGACAGCATCCAGGTCCTGACTGAGTTCAAGCCCCAGGACTAGTAGCATAAACAAACAGCAACAAGAACAGAATGAGACATTATACATAGGTGCTGGGTTTTTTTGGCAGTGGGGTGGGGTAGGGTGGGGTGTTGGCTTTTACTAGTGGGTTGGATCAGGGAACATTCCAATATTTTCTTTTTTTTTTTTTTTTGGTCGGTCGTGGGGCTTGAACTCTGGGCTTGGGCGATGTCCCTCAGCTCTTCAGCTCAAAGCGAGTGCTCTACCACTTGAGCTACAGCGCCACTTCCTCCAATATTTTCTCAAACTTAGGTATTGTTTATTTTTGGTTAAGAGAAGCACAGAACTTCCCTGGGGAGAAACAACTCCACTAAAAGCATAAAGAAACAAGGAAGTTGATGTTTATCAATGCCACAGCCTGCATGGCAGTGCCATGTCTAGGCTTGGATCTAGCCTTTCTGTCATTGAATGTTGGCTCTGTGGTCTATGGCTTGTGGCTTACTTGTGGCTTTTTCTTCACCAGTAAATTGAGGATTGACTGATTTGGTTTCTTCATTCACTCAATATTTTAGTGTTTATTAGATTCCAAACAATACTTGACATCTGGTGATGATCAATGTTTATTTTTACTGAGTAATCTATATGTTGATTGGCCCTTTTTCTAGTCTTAACAAGACAGGCCCGCTCATCTTGTCTTGGCAAGTTCTCTTTTGTGTTTGGGGGTGTAGAGTGGCCACAGCTAGGACCATTTGGCTCTCTTTTATGTGATCTCTCAAGCCTTGCCTCCCATTTTCTCATGGAGAGGCAGAGTTCCATTGGGAAAGCGGAAGTATAGAAGTCTGTAGAGACCTTGGAACTGAAGTAAGGAGACTGGGTCTGAGCAAAAGGGCAAGGATGAAAGTTTACAAATGTGTTTTGAGTTAGTAAGTTCCAGAAAAGTCTTACTCTCCTTAGATGATTGGTTCTTGGCTCCCCTTGACTGTGTCCACATTTGATTTATTTGGGGGCTTATATTTAACATTTTTTTTTAGGTTTGTTAGGTTTGATTGTATTCACATCTGATTTGCTTTCTACTTTAAGATTAAGTCCATACACCTTGTGTGGTTTTTAGTCATACAAGCTGTGTGTTGGTTGTATTCAGTGTAATAGGGTTTTGAGACTAGAGTCCCCCTGCTGCCCACAAGTGCTCTAATAAAGACTCCAAAATTCGGCCTTTTAAGCAGTGGCTACTCAGTTCTTAGTACTGGAACTACCATACAACAGAACTAGAGCTAGAACACTGTCAACTACCACAGTCTTGTAGCCAAAGCAAGTCGCTAGTCGGCCCAGATATAAGCAGTGTGGAAGGAAAATCTATATACACTCAATCCTGCCCAACACTGTGGAGGCTGGGCAGGAAGAGGTCAAGTTTGAGATCTTAGCTATGCAGCAAGACCTTGTCTCAAAAACAAAAATGAAGTTAGAGAGGAAGGGAGGAAAAGAAAGAAAAGAAAAGGAAAGGAAAAAACAACAACAGGCTGTCTAATGATGGCAGTGCCAGTGTGAAAGGCATAGATCCAGACAGGAGTGGGAAATGGAGGCCATCTTAGCAGTCAGACTGCCACATTGTCATATAGTAAAAGTTAACTAGTAAAATTTACATTTGTAAATTGACTAGTTTTATTTTTGCAGGGTATTTTTAATGAAGGTATTTCTAAAGCATTTTTTTTTTACATTAGTTGACAAGGGAGAAGGTTCGTTTGTAACATTT